CTCTCTCTCTCTCTCTCTCTCTCTCTCTCTCTCTCTCTCTCTCTCTCCTTACTATATATCCAAAAGAATATAAAAGAGAGAGAATCAAACAGAACAAGGTTTGGTAAAGGAGGCTATAGCACTGATTTATGACTTATGAGGCTGGTGGTAGAACTCAGGGGCCTGCGTTCTATCAATAGTGACGTCAGAGGAAGTGTGCGGTTTTTATTTCCGCATCAAGCGGAATTGCGATTCTGCCATACAGGGTTCCCTTACTCAGCTGAAATTATCAGCCTGCTGCCATCTCATCTTCTTCGGGTCTTTCCTCTTTTCCTCTCCCTCCCCGTCACCCCGCCCCCCCCCCCCTTTCTGGTGTTTATTAAAGAAAATCCCAGACATCATATCATGTAGCTCATTTCCTATAGAAATTTCCTGAAGACCACAAGAGAGAATAGGCCAGGAAAGTGATTTCTTAAGATTGTGTTATTCACAAAAATGAGGGCTTTTTGTTACTGAGACAGGGAGAAATGTAAAGTTTCTAAGACCAGTACATGATACCTCGGGTCATGAGTTTTGGTCATCTTTCTCCAGGACACTTCCCAAAGGCTTTGGGGAGGGAGTCTCTGGAGAGTTTTAAATCTTTACTAGGAAAATAAAGATAAAATCCTTGAATTCACAGATATTTGTAAACCTATAAAGAGGCAAATATCTCTCTGAGGGCATTGTTTATGAAGTTAAAAGCTATCAATGTGTAAAGTTTGAGGGACTCTTTTAGCACAACCACCCCTTACCTGTTCATCCCTGTCCTAGCCCGAGGGACTGCTGTTGTAACCGGAAAGCAGTTTGGATCTAGGACTTAGAGAGAAAAGCACAATACACAGTTGTTTTAATGTTCACACTTATCAGATTTATGGAATATCAACTTATTTAGAAGTTTGGTTATTTTCCATTAGCAAGTATCATCCAACTAAATTTGAGCAGAATGCCCTCTGAGTAAGTCAAATAGACAAAGGCTCTAAATGAGGAAATTAATTATAGCCAGTGTCCCAGGGAAAAGAACCCCGCCGTGGCACAGAGAAATATAATTAATGGGAGGGAAGTGCCAACAAATCACTCCTTAAAATATTAACGCTATCAAAGAACAGCTGGATAAGGAGGAAACCTGACCCTTGGGGGACTGATGGAGGGGCCGTGGCTGCTGTACAGTTTCACACAGTTGTGATGTAATGAAATTCCTCAAATCGTAACTTTAAAAAAAAAAAAGATATTAAGTAGTGTGGTCCTGGAAAAGTTATTAAGAGTCAGCGTGTCTTCCAGTTTGATTATTTTATTATGATTTTATTATTATTTTATTTTATGTAGCTCCTATTCGCTGTGGTTTTAAATCTCTTTCCCTTTATTTTCCTGAAATCAAAACCAAACCATCCTGCTGCCCCCAAACTAGAGAAAGGAAAACAAAACAAACACACCATTAAAGCCCGGTGACAGCATTTTTTTCTACATACATAAAAATCCATTACCTATGAAATTTCTACTAAAACACTCCCCCCCCATATGCTTCAATTAAATTCTTGGTTAAGGAAAACACAGCCGTTAGTTGTTTACCCAAATGTAATTTGGCTTTACTTAACAGTTTGATAACTTATTATTGCCTCCCCCAAACATGCAGGTATAATTTTACACAGTCCTATTCAGGCGTGTTTACACGTGGCGTGTTGTGTGTTGGGTATATATTTTATAATTAAATAATAATCTCAATATTTAAGATCTGAAACTAGAAGTGGTTCTTTACCCGGAATGGAATTTAATTTAGATACTTAAAAATAAACCGTTTTATTCAGCACTAAAGTTTTTCTAGAAGCCTCTGGGACTGCGGGCAAGCTGCGGGTGTAATAAATACTTCTGACCGCGTATGCTTGTGCTGGCGGTGCTCTCACAAGTTCTTCCATTTGTTTCACGAGACTTGCTAACATCTAAATCGGGTGACAGGGTGTTCAAAGTGTTTGACAAACCGTGCGGCTAAGACGAACGTCCTCACACGTACCGAACCAATAAACCCGGAGAGGAAACACAGGTTGCAATAAAAATAAAGCCTTGAGGTTAGCCCAGGTTTCACGTAACTCTGGCTTCACGAGACTCTTCCCTAGGCTGGAGGAGCCTTGTTCTGCAAACAGCCCACAAGGGACACATCATTTAAATAAATGTGTTTCTTTGCCCGAACAGAAGTTCAGATAGACTCGATTATCATTAATTCTGCTCTTTTATTTCCTTTGCGGGCGCGAACACCGAAACCCTGGCCTTTGAAGTGCGGCTGGCATTGCTGACCCGGGTCCTCCCCGGCGCCGGCTCAGCGGTGCGGGAAGGAGGCGCCTGAGCGTGAACTCCTGAAAGCTGAAAAGGAAGGGGGTTGGGGGGGAGAGCGAGGTGCAAATGTTGGTGACCCTAAAAATCAAGGTCGAACGAATCCTCAGAATCGGAGGCACAGGGACAAACTGGGTCTGTGCAGAAGCCGACAGGACAATTGGGGAACTCCAGCCGTCGTGCTCGTTTTTTTTTTTTTTTAAGTGAAACCCGTGGAGCTTAAGCGCCGCAGCGAGTCCCCTTGCGAGCTGGCTTGCGTGGACGGAGGTGGGACGGTAGCCTTCCTCATCCTTCTGCAGGTTTTCCTCGGCTATGTGACAGCTAGGTGGCGGGCTCGGGCTGGTCCCCTCGGGGTCACCGCCAAGGCCCGGGGGAGTGCCGTGAGTGGGGGCGGAGGGGAGACGCGCGTGAACCTGCGGGCGTCGGGGACCGCAGCGCGGTGCGCCCGCTGTGATTAGCTCGCGCGGCGACCCCGGAGGGCGGACTCTCCTCACCCTCGTGTCTCCTCCTCCCTCTGCCTTTTTAAGGGACGCCCTCCAGGCAGAGCTGTCAGCCACCCCAGGCCCTCTGCACTTGGCCGCGACTGGGCTGTCTCCCGCCTGCGTGACAGTCAGGGGCGGGAGCAGAATTAGCCACTGGTCCCTGGGACCTGCACTTGGAGAACTAAGCTGAGCTCCCGGCTCTGCCCGGTACCCGGCGACAACCCACGATCCAGACGCTGCCCGGCCTTGGGGTTGGTTGTCGGTGGCTCGACGGCCCGCGGGCAAAGTGGGGTGGGAGGAGGCCCGGGCCCGGGTGCTCCTTACGAGATGAGCCGGGCTAAAAGCAGCCGCTGCTTCAGTCGCAGCCTCTGCGGTGGCCTCCCGCGAGTCCTGGTCCCCTCGCCCTCGCGCGCCATGCTGTCCTCCGGCCACCGGAGCCCGCAGAGCAGCCCACTTCTCCTACCCAGGCGCTGCTAACCCACGAGAGCGAGTTCTTGACCGGGAGGTCAACTGGCCGCGTGGTACCTCGGGGGAGGCGGAACCGTGGTCCCCAGGAGCCTCGGCTCCGCCCTCCGACTCTCCAGCTGCCACCGGGCGCCCGGCAGCGATGGGGGCGCTGCTGGCGCTCTGTCTGCTCGTGGGTTTGCTGCGCTGGGGCCCGGCGGGCGCACAGCAGCCTGGGGAATATTGCCACGGCTGGGTGGACGCGCAGGGCACCTATCACGAGGGGTTCCAGTGTCCCGAGGACTTCGACACGCAGGACGCCACCATCTGCTGCGGCTCGTGTGCGCTGCGCTACTGCTGCGCTGCAGCCGACGCCAGGTTGGAGCAGGGCGGCTGCACCAACGACCGCGGAGAGCTGGAGCATCCTGGCATCACCGCGCGTAAGTGCGGTCTCCCTGGGCGGACAAGGCTCGCCCACCCGACACAGCTCGGGCCTTACTAGCTCAGGCCGCAAAGTGAACTCCGCTGGGCCTAGGGATCGAGGAAAAAGTGGGTGATCGTATTTCAGGTCAGGAGTCCTATCGCTTGGCAGTTTGGATCCCAGCTGCACGTGGTCCCCACGGTTCGGCCCTAGGGAAAGTTTGCAAGGGTTCGCAGGAACTGAAAGGCTGCCGGGCAACTGGTGCTTCTGGGGAAGACAGTTGGAGCTAGGTTGGGTTTCCTGGGCGCTCTGGTCAAATGGGGAAGCTCGGGAAGTGCCGGTGCCAGGGAACGCGACTCTGATCAAGAGCCCAAGTACAGTTCCGCAGGCTGATTTTTCACCCCCTTATTTTCTTTTGTCCAGTAGTACCATTTCGTCACTCTTCCAACTTCCTTTCAATTTCCTGCATCCAATTACCCTCTCTAGCCCACCCTCTATTGTCACGCTTTTCAGAAACACCCAAGTCTTCGAGGTGAGGATTTAAAATTCAGGGTCACAGGGCTTCCTCAAGGCCCCCTATTCTCACGTCGGAAAACACGGGTCAAATTTCCGCTCGCTTGTCCACTTGCTCACTTAAGAGGTGAATAAATCAGGACCCCAGCTGAGGAAATTTACACCTTGAAAAAAAGTTTTCCACTTGAGTTGGAACATCAGGGAAACCCTTTACAGCTCAAGGCGATGGTTTTACTGCCAGGAAACCTGAGAAGACTGCGGAGCTCAGAGCCTGTGACTCGCCGGACTGGGAGGAAGCAGCGCAGGGGCCTGCACACTAAGATTCCCAGAAAGGCAGGGAGAGAGAAGCAAGAGCAGTCATTTTGAGTCCCATCCTCCAAATGACAACCCAGAGAAGAGGGGTCAGCATCCCGGTGTTTTTCCTTTGGGATTTAATTTTGGTAGCCAAGAGAGGGTATTAAAAAGCCCAGTCCTGAGGGTCTGGGAGGTAGTTTCTAGACAACATAGTGGAAAGCAGGGAACTCTAGGCTATCATAGCCTGTTAGAAAACCAAACTTCTCTGCTCCTTCTAGGCAGGGCTAAGCCTGCCTCCTGGGTGGGGAGGGGGTTGTTGTCCAAAAATGAGACCGGAGGATTGGAGCACTCGCCCCACTTACTGAGTCTGAGATCAGGCCAAACCAGATGGATAGAGGCTTTGTCTCCTGCCAGCACTTTAACCTCTAGTGACTTAACTATACCAGGCCTCTTCTCGAATTTAAAATGGGCCTATTGCCATCAAAGAGTCAGTTTATTGATGAAACTAGCATACAACTGTTTGGCTCAGTGCACAAGGAATGCAGGCTAACTTCACCTGGCCTTGTACACACCACTGGTACTCACATGGGGGACAAAGGGATGCTGAAGAACTCAGTTAGCAGCCCTTGGGTAGTTGCTACCTGTTACTCCCTGGCTGAGTCTTTAGAAAAGACATGTAGTTATACCTGGCTAAGAGGGAGTTTCTATCTCACAAGGCCTCTGTGATAAAGGTCGAAAAGGTCGAATCTGATACAGAAAACCAGGCTCAAGGGCCTTAGTAAACCCAGATGTCTTGTCTGCTATCCCTAAGCTGGAGGCTGCGTCTCAGTGTGGCTCTTTTACACAGGGAAGAGACCAAGACAGCTGCCTGATACCTCTGGAAAAGAAAGTCTTATTTTATCTGCCTTTTAGAGATGGAGGCAAACAAGAGTTTGCCCTGTCTTGGGAATGTGCTTAGAAAAAGAGTCTGGGTCACCAATATTGAGAACTACATGTTGTTCTTTCTGTGGGTGGGAGTATAGACACAGAGGTATGACATCTGGAGTCAGGGCTGGTGATTTGTGAGATGGTGGGAAACACAGTAAATTGGGGCTCACTGTGGATTGCTTTCTCCTGCTCTTTCTAGAGCTGTATAACACCCTGGGGCTTCATTCAGCAGGCCTGGTTCTCATTGCTTAGTCTGGAAATGTTTGGACAGGAGATGGATTGTCAGTCTAGGAGATGGGTTAGGCCTTTAAGTGTCCCACCGTGATCAAACTCCTAAAACCTAGATTTAAATGCACATGCTTGGTGACCCTCCCAAGCTCACCCTCTCCCTTCAGTGCATGAAGAGGACGATAGGCTTTCGGACTTCCAGATGTTCAGTACGATGGCTAATTGCTAACAGAGGCTCCAGCACCCGTTTGCTTCCTCCCTGCCAGGAATAGCAAGAGCATTTCATCACCATGGTTTGTACTTTGGAGGTTGCCAGTCGCATGCTCTAAAACATGGAGCTGACAGCAGTAGCTACGATGAGATGAACCTCTGCCTCCCGTCTCTTAAGATGCTAACGCAGAGGCTAGGGTTTGAGTGACTTTGACCCTGCATCTGTGTATGTCTGCTTTTGCCTTTCAGAGCCTGTCTACGTCCCCTTCCTGATCGTCGGCTCCATCTTCATTGCCTTCATCATTTTGGGCTCATTAGTGGCTATCTATTGTTGCACCTGTTTGAGACCCAAGGAACCCTCCCAGCAGCCGATCCGCTTCTCACTCCGAAGCTATCAGACAGAGACCTTGCCCATGATCCTAACCTCCACCAGCCTCAGGGCAGCTTCTAGGCAGTCCAGCACGGCCACCAGCTCCAGCTCCACAGGCGGCTCTGTCCGAAGGTTCTCCTTTGCCAGGGCTGAGCCAAGCTGCCTGGTACCGTCCTCACCTCCACCTTACACCACTGGCCACACCATACACCTAACCCAACCATCCGGTTTCCTGGTGTCACCCCAGTATTTTGCATACCCTCTCCAACAGGAGCCCCCATTACCTGGGAAGAGCTGTCCAGATTTCAGTTCCAGCTGACGGGGCAATGGTTGTGAATAGGCCATACAGCGGAACGGCAGCCAGGTGGAGTGTTGCTGTTTTGGCCAAGCCACGATCACTTCTGAGGAAATTTGTGGTAACCCGTCATACTCATGGAAGAAAGGTCCAGAAAGATTCAGCATTTTCTAGTCTTGAGGTCCTTGGCTACAATTACAGGAGATCTGACCTAGCAACCACGGTGAACATGACAACTTTTATTCGCCTTTTGTTAAAATATTCATCAGCTTGATGTTCAGTTTGCGAGTTGAAAGAAAATATTTTACTGGACAATTCAGCTATCCTTTGTAGAAAAGTGCCCTGTGTTCCTTTTCCTGTGTTGAATTATAGTACAAATATATATACATAAATAAGGAAGGGCATATACTTAACTGTAATTATAAAAGGTTCACTTAAAAATTAACTGTTAAGTAAGCTTGAAGGGCCAGTGAACTACCTATTTATAATTTTTGGAGCAACCTAACCATAAGTAATATTAGTACGATGAGAACATTTACTTCTTAAATTAATAACAAATTTTGTTTAAAATATGAGTTTTCTTTTTCCAAAATACAAGGTTTCAGTAACCACATGGGAAGCTTAAAGTTTTAAATATATACTCAGACATTCATTGTAACACAGATTCTGGGTAAAAATCACTTCCCCCACCAACCTGAGGGAATATTTATTGCAGACTTTTTGTTCAGCAATATTAGTGTTTAAATGGAAGTTGGACAATTGGGTCTTAAAACATTTATTTGTATAAAGGATTATATATAAAAGTGAAGATTTGTAATTTAATTTACTTACCACATTGACAGTACTAATTACTTAGAAGTCACACTGTAACTTTGCTCAAAGTTGGGGGGGGTCATTATTGTAAGCAGACAGTATTCCACATTTTATGTGCCACTGTGTTTGATGTCTGGTGACAACACATAAGGACCAGGCTAGAAAAAATAAATAAGTTTATCTGGTTTCCTGAACTCTATTTGAGGTTTTCAAATCAGAATTCTTTATCTTATGCTCTTAGTGACAATTCTTTTGCTATCTAATAAGAGGCTATATTTTGTATCCCACACTCCATCTTTCAAAATTAAGGTAAACATTGGCTTCCTCAGGACTTTGGAAAGCAGCAGAGGTCTGTTTTTATAGAGTCCTTAGAAAACAGTCTCTCTGTGGTCCTCACATGTCACTTGGTCTATAGAGTTTGACCACCCGGATATTTTTTCATAGGATGTTCTGGGTTTTTGTTATACATAGAAGATGTGACATTGCTAGTCCTACCCTACTGTGAGCTCAGTCCTGCCCTACTGTGGGCTCAGGCCAACCCTCCTCGGGTAATACACCCACCAGTCACCAATTCATTTCCTGTTCATCCATGTGCCCCTTCTCCTTCAATACCGCTGTTGGTGCACTTGGAGACTTCAGCTTATGGGAATTTATTCCGTCATGTATCACCTTCAGTAGCCCCGTCCCAAGTTAACGGAGGTAGAATTCTGCCCTAGGAGGGTTAATTGGCTTCCTTGTTTTCCAGTTAAGGGTCAGAGAAAACCAGTTGGAAGGCATTACTCCTTTGCCAGGAAGTTAGAGGGGTGCCAACTCCTAGTTCTTTCTCCCACATGCAAATCTGGTCTTTCTCCCAAGTATTCAAGATTATGAAAAAACAACTAAAGAGACAGTGGGATGTAAGGAACAGATGTTTGAGACTGTGTCCAAACCCACACAACTGGATCATCATCCTGGTCGTAGTAGCTCTGTACCGTTTCTTTGACAGTTTTAAGTTAACTTCCGCCGAGTTCTCTGTTTTACCACAAGCCAAACGCAGTGCTGAGCAGTTGTGTATTAACTCACCCGGTCCTCCAGACAACTCAGAGGAATTATACTTGCCATTTTAAGATTTGGAAATGGAGGAAGAGCCTAAAGTGTTCAATTCTGCAGCAAGTTAATATTGTTGTGTAGAGAATGGTTTAAACACCAGGATGACACCTGCTTTCAAACTTAGTTTGTTTTTGAGATAGGGTGTCCCTACATAGCAAGGCTACTCTAGAACTCATGATCCTGCCGCCTCAGCACCCCTCCCCCCCACACCCACATACTGGGGTTATGGCTGTGTGATGTCACACCCTGCTTTAATGTGCTGAGTCTTGGCCCTACTAAGTGCAATGAATGTTTCTTAGTTTGTAATCTCTTGAATTGTCAAAAAATGAATTACAGGCAATATATATCTGTAATTAAAATAGACCCATTCGGTGTGCTAATGAGAGGGAGGAAGGGGGAGAGAGGGGGAGAGAACAGCAACAAGAGCCAGAGGGAGCAAGACTGAGAGAGTGGGAGGAGGAGAGAGGGAGAGAGAGAAAGAGAGAGAGAGAGAGAGAGAGAGAGAGAGAGAGAGAGAGAGAGGGAGAGAGAGAGAGAGAGAATATATTGAAGCTTCAGCAGACTATTAAGGACTCAGAGAGGTGACTGAGCCAATTTAACCCTTTCATGCCCAGTTCCACAGTGTCTGCTAGAGTATGGAAGTGACCCACCCACCTAAGCGTGACTCTAGTTTGTCAGTGGCTGTACTTTCTGTTTTCTGCTGCTTTGGAGAACAGAATGCATCCTTTAGGCACACTGATGCTGAGCGATTCATGGAGTACTCACATCTAGACTTCCCTGCAGCTGTGGGATTCTCCAACCAATCAGCTGGCCGTATAGTATTTAAAGCTAGGATGGTGTTGTGTATGTAATTTATTGTCATGTGGCATTCGGTGACATTGAATCAAATCATATGCTCATGTACTTGGTGACACAAAATGTATCTTTGTACAAGCCTTCTCTTTGGAAGCTAAGTGGCTGCTAATACTATTTATGATCTTAACATAATAAAGCCATCCCATGGTAATTTTTAGACATGTCTCTTTCAACAAGCCTTTGAATCACATTACTTACATTTGAGTCTGGCCCTGTGTGAGGTTCCATTGAAAACTCCAAGTGGAATTAAATCCATTTCCTATCCCAGAAGCCTCTACTCTCCATTACTGGCTGGAACAAGGCAACTAGGGCTTGAGATGGGATGTGGCAGGTGCCTTAGAAAGAGAAGCTCTGTATTGGCCAGGAACACAGCTCAGCGGATAAACGTACTTGTACAAGTCTGAGAGGCTTGAGTTTGAGTCCTTAGCATCCACATAAATGCTGAATGAGTATGGCAGCCACTTTGTATTTCCAACTTCCCTATGAAGTTGAAGACAGGGGTTCTCTGGCAAGCTGGCTAGCTAGACTAAACTAGACTAGCTCTAGGTTCAACTGAGGAACCCTGCCTCAGTGAATAAGGTAGAGGACAATCAAGGAGATTCCTGATAATAATCCCTGGGCTTTCACATACATAGTCCAGATACAAATGTGGCACCCCCTGCAAACACACGAACACATATGTACAAACATCACACGTACACATGCAAAAAGAAAAATGAATGGAAAATTGATATCCTTCCTTCTCCCAGGGAGCTCACAGTCAGGGAGAAGATGAATCTATAGCCTAGTCTTTAGGACGCTTCATAACTGTGGTCATAACAGTAATGCAGGATGCATGGAAAGAGGTACAGACTCATACTGAGGGGCTGCTGTAGGGTGTGAGCTGGGAAAGCCATGTGGGGGGTTTGAGTGAGGAACACTAATGGGGGGGCAGTAGAGAAGAGTAGTGGAATTAAGAGGCAAGATCTGTAACGGTAAGAGAGTCAGGAGCACCCAGGGTCAGATTAGAACTCTTGAACATCAACATTGCAAGTTATTAAGGAAGTGAAGGGTTAACATATAGTACATACCTGGCTATTTAAAAATCGCATTAGACATTCAATATTAGTGAAATTACTCTGACAGTGTTTTTCTTTCAATTGCTAGCTACCCAGTTTGTACTTGGAGGCAAAGACCAACTGTTACTAAGTATTTCATATTTTCCAAACATATTAAATGCAAGTGGCAGCCTTGAAATGTTTTATGAGGGACTGTGAATTGCTCATGTCTTCATTTTTGGACAATTACACGTGGGGGATCAGTCACGTCATTTGAAATCTCTGAGGACATGCTCACTGTGTCCCACTATCACAAAATGCAGTGGCAAGTTATCTGGCTGAGCATTTTACTGTTTTCACAAAGAATTAAGAGTCTCAGCATCCTCAAATTATGATTGCGAAAACCAGAATTCTATATTTTGAAACGTGATCATTCCTATGATTAGATTTATTAAGCATCACTCATTTCTCAAGACATTTCTACACTACCTTGCTGAGTTTCTAGTCAGTCCTCCCTGTGACGTAGGACTGTCCTATGCTTGTCTTACAGATGGAGAAATCACAGTAGAAGGATAAATAGCATGTCCCAGGACAACAAACGGGATAGGAGAGATAGCACTCGTGTCCTGGAAGGTCAGCTTTGCAACTCTATGTTCTTTATGACATTAGCCTAGAAGGACCACGTTTCTTAGGAAAACAACCCAAAATATTTCTCAGAAAATCCACTGGGGGAAAGTGACTAGTTGCATGGTGTCTTACATGTCCTACAGCATCAGGGGCCCTGATAGATATGAAACTCACGCTACATTATGAGAGCATGGAAAGAAACATTAGATGACGCACGTAGATACTGAATGAGTGTGGCAGCCACACTCATTTATGTAAGAAATACTCCTTTATGTAAGAAATGGAAGACACCAAGTTTGACTTTTGAGCTTTTACATCTGGCTAATTTTCTGGCTCTTGCTTAGAACAGTCTTTTGGCCATTTGCTTCACCTCTTGCTCTTTTCATTTGTAAGATGGGCAGGTTAATAGTAGCTTGTTGCTTTGGACTGTCTGGATAAGAACCACTCTCTGAGATCAGCTGCACTCTAACGGGGAGGGATCCAGGTAGAAATTAATGGTATGGAGAGTAAAAATATCCTAGAGTAAAAATGAAAGGCCAGTTGCTGTGGGATAGCATGTACCTCTGACTGGGGACGGAGAACAGAAAATGATGTCTTAATGAATCATTGGCCTCTTGACAAATGGCCAAATTCCTATTGTTGCCCATTACTGCTCCAGCATCTGGAGTGCTATGGTTGCCATTAGTCAATTTTTCAGCACTGTCACAAAATAGCTGAGGCTGAACTTTAGAATATAAAAAGGTTTATTTGGGCTCACAGTTTTGGAGGTTCTGTTCGCTTTGGGCTCATGGCAAGGCAGCATATCAGAGCAGGAACATGTAGGAAGCAAAGCTTCATCCTTCATGAGTGTAGGGGAAGAGCAGAATTGAGGAGGGGCCAGGGTTACCCTCTGTGAGGGCCTGTCTCCAAACATCTTCCACTAGGCCCCACCTCCCAGTACTACCACCTGTGGACCGAGCCTTTAACACATGGGCCCAAACCACTGCCTGGCCTCTGCATTCATTTTATCATGTGCTTTAGGAAACAAATCTAACAGAGTAATTTTGCTTTAAAATTGATTATCCACTCCAAAGCCTACTGATTATATTTTGAATTGTCCAAATGGATAGACTATTTCCTCTTATTGTTTTTCTGCCTGCTTATTCTCTCTCTCTCTTTCTCTTTCTCTCTCTTTCTTTCTCTTTTTCTTTTTTTTCTTTCTTTTAGTGTGAGGAGCTGTATATCACATTATCAGGTGGATTTGAACCCACAGGAAAAAAAATTCCCTAAACTGAAATAACTAAAAGGCTTCCTAAAATATATACAGTTACAACTGGGAATCTGATACATTACACTAAGCTGGTATCAATTTACTTTTTAAATCTCATGTACGTTTAGGAAAAATACGAATTTATAAGCATGCTAAGTTATTTAAGGGAGCAAAGTGTTAACACACATTTACTACATACCTAGCTATTTAGAAATTGCAATGAAACATTCATTAGTAGTGCGATTTTCTGACAGTTTTTCTTTCAATCGCTATCTACCCAGTTGGTACTTAATAAAGACCAAACGTTACAAAATATTTCATATTTTCCAACATTTTTTAATGAGCTTACTTGTGAAATGTCCAGGTTTGAAAGGCTTTTCTTCATTAAACTGGGGTGGCTATATTTCAGCAATGGTAGCTTTAGGTTAAAGATGCTGTAAGCATGAGGAAACAGACTTTAAACGGGGTGACATGCTGAATTATGAGGGTGTAGTTCAAGTTTGCTGTTGCCTATAGCAACAATAGAAGGTATTCTAAGACAAGATGTCACACATGTGCCCCCCCTCCCCCTCCCCCCTCCCCCGTTAAAGTGGAATGGCAGTTAAATGTGTAAATTGTAAGAGAAAACTTAGAGGTTGCTTCTCCATAAACTGTGTTACTGGGGCTTTGCATGAAGATCCACCACCAGGTGCCTCAGGAAGTCTGGGAAGGCCAGGGGCTCCCAACAGCTAAATAGACATGGTGTTATCAAATCAGATCCTTTTCAGTACGCCATGTTCAGTATCTCTGCATTAAGAACTTCCATTCTAGCAGCTTACCAAATACATCTTCACTGTGTGAGCTTTTAGTAAAAGATGCTTGTTTCTGAAAAAAAAATGATACTTATTCCACATTTCCATATACTTTTGGCTCATTTTACTATTTTATGATTACTTCCTTCAAATGTTGTTGGCTAAACTTGGTCACCTCTCTCTCTCCTTCTCTCTTTAAAGTGGGTTTAGAAAACCTACAAAAATTCTTCCAACACAAAAGGACAGAGACCTTTAGTCAACTGTTTACTGATAAGCTGACTTAAAATGCAGAGATACCTGTGAGACATTTCTAAACAATAAAATTGAAATATAGTAACTTTCCAAAAAATATTTACATTAATTACACAAACTACTCTCCTATCAAATTAGGACTAATATTCTATTTCATTTAGTTGAATTAAATTGATTTAAATACAGCTATAAACAAAATGTTATGAAGCTATCAGATGGATACAGCATCTCAGACTATAGTTACCTCATGTTTGAGCCTTTATAAAGCAACATACTTTCTAAAAGTAGCAATCAAAACTTCAGCCAGTGCCTTTATGTAACGGTAAAGTTTATTTTTTAATAACAATTAGAGGACAAAAATGTTTAAAATCTGCAGTTTAAAACATGCACATTCACAAAAGGCCGATGACAAGGAACAGTGCATAGAAATGGATTTTACTCAACATTTGTAACTATTTATAAAACACAGTGCATCAAACATCAAGATACACAAACCTGAGAGAAGCACTTTAAGCACAGATTCGACACTTGTCCACGCATGCAGCGTCACGATCTTTACAGCCGTTGAGGCAGGAATGGCTTTTCCACGGAGCTGAATGTCTATTTTATTTTATTTTTTTAAAGCAAACTGCGGCCTTTCATAGCTGCCTTCCAAGGCTGCCGTCTTACTTTCACTTCATACACTTGAAAAGGTGAGAAATGAGGCAGAGGAGGCTGCCAACGGGCACTCGCTGCATTTATGGCTTCTAGTCTACGGCTGGGAGTCTCATCTCCACCAGAGTGTACTTACCAATGGAGAGTTTCTGCTAACTCAAGAGTGAGCACACAGGCCAGTCCACCTTTCTTCCTAGTTAAGGAAGATTTGTCTGCTGAGAAGTTTCGTGAACGTTCTAAAGAATAATTCTTGGAGACAAGCTAAACAGAAGATTCAATTAAATAAAAAAAAATAAAAAGATTCGGTTGAATTTGTTGGAACTTGTAAAACAACCCATTTTTTTTTTAAAAAAAAAAAAAAAAACCAAAAACTTGTGCAGAGGACTGATTAATTTGTCCACTGAGTATTCTATTCTACTTAGGTCATGGTAAAGTTTCATAAGACAGAAATAAATATAAGGACTTACACAAAAGCCATGCATTTGCCTGAATCACCTTAAATATTAATTCATGCAAACCATAAACCTATCAAAAAAAAACCAAAACAAACACACACACAACAAAAACCTTAACCAGCTGCTTCCCTACAGAAAATAAATCAATATGAAACACAAAAGGAGTTTATTTCCTTTTCTTAAGATTTAACTTACATTCCATTTTAATAACTGTTGAAGGCTAATTAAAACACAGCAAAGTATAACTAAGTTTCACAAGTGTTTTATTTTAATGTAAGAAAAATCAGACTACGATATGTTTAAGAAACAGTCCAGAAATGCTCATCATTACAAAACATTTGCGAGGCACAGCGCCACACGGTGTCATCGTAAGCAAGGGACAGAAGGGATTCTATATACTTGTTCACCATGGTGTGAATGAGTGGGGCATTTCCTTGATAAATTTTGTAGCTTAATTATCAGACTAACAATTCACTTCATAATACAAGTTTTAAGACCAGGAACCGTCAAAAACCAAGTATATAATGAATAGCTTTATAAGAGTTATGCGCTGATTAAAAAGGATACCAGCTATTGCTTCCTGACTAGCATTTGTCTTCTGAAAGGTCATTTTTCAATCATAGGTTATGAGTGTGGCATTGAGCACAGAACAAATTAACCTACTGTGAATGTCACATCAGCTATCTGGGACACTGGATTGAAAAATTAAAATATATCATTAAATGCTGAGACAACACGCTGATTATTTCCAGGATCCATTTTGCCTGTTGGAAAGGAAAAGGACTCACTGACTCTCTTTAATGACAACACAATCCATGGCTCCCTTATTTGGCAGTATTCCTTCACCTGTCTGGGTGAGTGAGAGCTATGCAGTAAGTTCTCCTGGCTGCTGATGCTGTCTCCCAGGGAACACTGAGTGGAGTACCAGCCAAGAGGCACATTTACCATGTTAAATGTCCTAGGTTCCTGAGAACATTGCTCTCCTGCTAATACCTTCACAAATAGAGCATCTTTCAGTGTGAGACAGCAGTGAATTGTTAGGTGTATATCTAACACACAGAGAAAGTCTGTGCTCCACATTGCTGTGTGATATCCCAACCCAACGTGAACGATTCACCTCCCAGCTTTTCAATGCTAAACTAATGAGGATTTTCTGCCATAAATAGTATTTTCTGGATTGTAAACGTTACAAAGCAATCATGTCAGCATTTACCAGAGTCCCCTATAGGGGACTTTTAAATTGGAGTTATATGTTGTTCATTTCAGAAAACATAGGCTTAAAGTCATTTTGACTGTAGCCATTCAAATCCATGGTAAAACCATGTGCCTTTTCCCCAGCTGACAAAGGTTAGAAACGCGAGAGGATTAAGTCTATAAACTCGCTGCAATAGCCAGTCTCTATTTCAAGTTTTACCCAAATGGCCACTCTCTGTGCTTTCCCCAACTTAAGAACAGAGAGACCAAGTTAATGCCCGTCATTCAAACACAGGATCCAGGGACAAAAGGCATAAAGAGTCTCATTTTCAGGGTATGATGTGTACTGATTAACCATGAGTATGGAAGAGGTTCATCAAAATAATTCATGATGCAAGATAAAAAGATGACATTAGATTTCTAGGCAGAGGCCAGAAGATTCCATTCTCATTTACAATGTTTTGATGAGAGGGATTTGGTGACAGATACCTCTGATGGCTGGGGCAAAGGGAAGCAAGCCTTTTTTTGGATAACCACTCATTTTTGGGGGGCTATGACCTCAATTGTCACCACCAGGAGGCTGAGGAGAACCCACCCTCCAGATTCAGCTGGTAGACGGCTAAGTCTACAGTCTCACAATCTGGAAGATCAGCTTCGATTCTATGTGTGTGGTTCTGCTAGATGTTTTGATTCCTGTGTCGGCTGATCTAAGCTCCAAACGGGACGGTTTGAGATACACTTGTGTCCATTCTGCTCCCTTTAGAATTATGTAAAATTTTAGAACCTCTTATTTGCAGGGAATGCGGAGACACACTGGTAACTAGCTACAGATTTAGAGAAGGAAGAGACACACAATCTAGTTTTAAATTCAGACCAAGAAAAAGGGGGGGGCAATGAAAAGATTTAAGGGGGTAATATGGAGACCTCCCCTTCTCAAAGCCAGTCCTTGCACACATTTAAAGGTCTATTTTGCTGGTAATCCACATAAAGGCAAACAGGCTTTTGAATAGAAGGCAGAAGAATTTGTTTCAATCTCCAAAGTGTATCTGAAAACTAGAACTCCCCCCTCTTTTTTGAATGGGGGGGGGTGAAAAGATGAAAAAAATACCATAAAAACTGTAGAAAACTGGGTGTGGTTTTTAAATAGCCCCTTCACCATTTACTGTTGGTAGCAAAATAGGCATTTTTCTCCCCCAGGAGATTTCATGGAGATGCCAAACTAATTAGAGCGAACACATATTAGGAAACATATCAGTGAACCCTACTCGTGATAAGTATTCATTGACTGTAAGGTGTTAGGCTTGAGCAAAATAGGTATCTCCTGAAAATGGGGGAAGTGTGCTACCTACCTATCTGTCTCGTGCCGATAAGCAGTACGTGACTCATTTTGGGAGTTGTTGGCCGAGTGAACTGTGAAATAATTTTCAGGCTTAAGCATACGGGTAGTCGCCATGAGACCAACTGTGCTTCATATGTCATCTCCAGTGGGAGCGCACAGTGAAGAACAAACAGCACAGGACAAAAGCTGAGCCTATGTACATGACAAAAAGCCCATGCATTATCTCATGGATTATCCCAAAGGTCTTTGGAAATCCCACATAAATATGTAAGGGTAATTTTCTTAGGAGGCGGGGAAAAGACAAAGCGGCATCATTGTCACTCAATACATAGCAGAAGCCAGATTTTTTTTTTTTAAAGGAACATTTAAAGGAGTCTAAAGTTCATCAGAAATGACAGACAGTACAATTAAAAAGAGAAAAAGTCAGCATCGTAACAACAGTCACACGGACACACGTTCCCTCCTACAGGAACCAATAAAAACCACAAACAACAGAGAAGCAGTTGTAAGGCCCAAGGTGCGACATCACAGATTTTAGTAGCAAATGCCTGGAAATGCTCAAATTTTAAGTCACGCTCATGTTTGAAAAGTCAAGCATGCAGGTCATACAGAGGTACTGTGAAAAAAAAAAACTTTCTTTTAAATTTCTGGGCAGATGACTACTGAATGAGAAACGCACACACTGAATGTCTTTGGCAAACACTTAGCAAGACACTCTTTGACACAAACACATATTTAATGCCTTGTTTAGAAACGCTCAGTAGAGTGAGCTGATTTATTTCAGCATATCCTGAACTCTAAGTCTGGATATTGAGAGTACTTCCCTTAACATCATTTCTGAGTTGTTCTTGTTCTTGTTGTTTCTTTTAAATAGTTGATTGACTGGTGGTTGAGCCATCAACGATAGTTACAGCCCCAGAGGGACAGCTTGTGAACACTGACCTGTCCCCATTTTGAGAAAGCACTCTGGCAAGATATAAGGTAATTTCCACTATCGGTTTACAAAGCCTTAGCAGGTACTTGAGGACATTCCGAGGACGACGGTGTTACAGTAGTCACATAGCGCTATGTCCTAGAAATTCATCTGTGAGATGAGCTCAGATCCACTTTTTCTCCCCATGGACCAGACTGCAATTGGTCAGCAGGTTGTAGTGATGACCTTAGACTCTGACAGTTCTCCTCAGAGACACAGTGTGGGGGCTGGTGGCCTAGGCCTGCCAATCACCACTCATCAGGCCTCTGTTTCGTGGTATCATAGGCTCTAATCACTTCCGACTGTGAGACGATGCCATTTTCATCTTGAGAGAAAGCATAGCCGTCTGTAAGCAACAAAAGAGCAGAAATTGGTTAATGAACTCACTGAAAATTACTGTCAGTTACGGTGTACCACCATCTGCTGGGAGGGCTGGTACATCCCACCTTCACAAGCAAGGGGCACTCATGTTTAACATCTGGAAGAGACACATGTTCAGCAGTGACAAGGAAGAGTGGAAGGGCCAGCGGCTGCCAGTGTGGATCTTCTAAACTCTGTTTCCCATACACTAGGCTGAAGCTGTCAAATCTCCCTTCGACCTTGGAGCCACATAGCAAGTCCAGTCCCTTCACATTTGCTTCCTCGTGACTGGAAGGGCTCAGAGTCTGAACATGGCATTGGGTACATTTTTAGGCAGGTGTCAAGTGAGTGAGAAGGTTGGAGTAGATGGACAGAGGGATGTATTAATTAGCTTGATTAAATTATTCTACCACGAGAGCATACACATGAAAACACCACCCTATACTCTATAAATAGATACATGATCATTTGTTAATTAATGGGACTGAGGAGGGAAGAGAGAGGAACACACAGAATTTTCCAGTGATGGAAAAAAGGCCCGTTTTCTTTATGCTACATTCTCTTTGCCTCCCAGCACACACACACACACACACACACACACACACATCATTGATGCTTTATATAGTCAGAGGGGGTGTGGGGATAGGAGATGACCCCTAGGGCATCACATCTTTGGAAAAGCCCCCTTGATATATAAAGTCCAAAAGCACTAAACATGGGTATATATAAAGGAAAATAAATTACATGTGGAAACACAAAATAAAAGATATATTACTGACACCAATAAATTTACTATAGGGCTACATATATTATGTTCTCTTTCAGGTCCTTGAAATGTTAAGAGGGTGAGATACCTAATAACTTCTTCCAACTCTAAATATGCATAAATAGTTTTGAAGGGTAAAATATATGTTTCTTTGCATTGCATGAGAGCTGAAAAGACTCTGGCAGAGTTATTCAAGTAGAAAAGATAACAACGCAGGCAGCTTTTAAGAGTTAAGATTTATCTCACTGTTTCTTTTTAAGATTTAAAGCTCCAAGGAACGTCAAGACGGCAGCATTTTAAAATTCGTTATTAACTGGGAGATGGTGTAGCCCATGGGTTTGTTAACCAACCATTTGTTTTTATATATATATATCAGGTCGCAAAAATTTTAAGTCATGAATTTTAAATAGTTAAATATGGTGCCAATGGAACACAGGCTCTGCTGCATGCTGGGATCCGCAGAGCACAGCAAGTTCATTTAATCAAAATTTCAATACTCACGGAGTAGGTTCTGTTGTAAGGATTCAGAGCGGTACAGATTCACATGGTTCTTCTTAAAGACATTCTTGAGCAGCTGTGCCCTCTCCGTGAGGCTGTGGAGCAGGCACAAAAGTGTGAGACACACTGTCAGCTCAGGGAGCCCCCACTCTCCTCAGGACTACCAGCAGAGCTAGACAGAACAAAAGCCGGGGAATCCGCAGTACGGACTTCCTTTTTTAATTCTATTTCTTTAGATAGCGAATGAGATCTCAAGTGTTGAGATACTTTTGAAGCCATTTCTGCACGATAATCTAGGAAAAATAAGGTTTCTGTACCCAGTACCGTTACATCTAAATCAGACGGATACAGAATCTACTTAACACAAGCAGTAAATCACCAAATCCCCTCCAAATCTTGATCGACTCACTGTATGTATCGTGAATACAGAACTTTAGAGTTTAGAAGCGGCTATCTTAGCCATACTGTATCCTGCTCACATTCTGACATACTCTGATATAAAAAAGACAGTTTTAGTTATGCTAAAGAAATGAAAAAAAAAATACAGAGGGCAAAAAAATCTTAATCCTTCTTAATCAGACAAATTCCGTTACCGGTCCAATATGATTTAAGTATGTCAATTTCATTTTAAAACACAATTTATTTATTTATTTAGAAAATAATTATGCTAGATAAAGTAACGAGAAAACAAGAATCCATAAATGCTTAGCCTGGTCTCCACAGAGAGGTCCACGGAATTAACCACCCTTTCCTCTGCTACATGCAGTGCCGTGACTCATAACGAGCATCCAAACATTTGTTGGGTAGAAGAATCTGAGCAGTTCAGACACATGCTCACATGCCTCCTCCATCTTACTAATTACCCTGCTTCTCTAGTGGCTGATTTATTCAAAGTTTGTTGATAGTGAAGAGCAGTCGGGATAGGTGGAATGAAGGTATGTGTCTGCTGAAGTGAATGGCCCATGCGAGTGTGTTTTTAACAACTGGAAGAGGATCAGCTAAAAAAAAAAAAAAATTCCCATCTTGTTCTTTTTCCTCACCCTACAAGCTTTAGTTAAGCTGCTGTAAATTATGTTAGTTCTGTGTTTTGCCATCTTTTTTTATTGAAAGCCAGAAATGGAATTATCTTTATCATATACACATACATAAAAAAAAAAGATCTTCCCCATTGTAGAAATGAATTACACAGACATTTAGGCAAAAATTGAAGGGGACTGTTTAGAAATGTTGACATTTGTATTAATCTCTCTCACATAGTTTTTGAAGCCCGGGGATGCTAACTAGGACTTACGAGACATAGTTTATTGTCACTGGGAATTAGCTCCATTAAAAAAAAAAGAAAATGAATTCGTGCAAAAGTCCAGCGTCAGTGCAGTTAGTTGTAAACTATTTCTGCCACACACAAAGGGAAAAGGGTCATCTCCAATGAGGTAGTTTCTCTTTCCTCCTTCTCTTTAAATGAGCTACACTACAAGCTTTGAGACACTAAGGGCACTAACATGGGTGACTCCTTTGGGGAGTTTGGGAGTTCGAGCATTAAGCATGGAGCAATCTGAGGATCTCAGCAGTGTACTACGGACAGGGTGTCTGGCAGACTCCAGTGTTTAAGTTGAAATCCTTATAGAAGGCTGGAAGAGAGCAAAGGAATATTCTGGCAGCTTCTTCCCCAAATTCTTTTTCTAGGTTTCAGGGTGGCCTTCTAATACTTGAAGAAGTCTAGGGATGGACTTTATCCTCTACAGTTCAGCAACTGAAATATAAAGCATGCTGCTTTTTTCTGCTACCTACTTACCTCTCTCTCTCTCTCTCTCTCTCTCTCTCTCTCTCTCTCTCTCTCTCTTTCTTTCTTTCTTTTAACACTGAGACCTTCTTGGGAAAGTAGCATATCCATCAGGAAAGAGCATAGACCTTGAAGTCTGTTTTTGACTTGATTCTGAGTTTGCTGCTTGTTAGCTGGGTCACAGTAGACAAACCTTCCTTGGTCACCTCAATTATAATGGAAGGACAATTCATAACTCTCTGGCACCCAGGGAAGGTTAAGCCACTTGTCAGGAAAGTGATTGACACCTAGGAAGCAGTCAACAAGTGCCGGTCCCTCCTACCCCTGTCTCCAGACACCAGGAATTTTATTAGAAAAGGTACTTTGCAAAGTTTGGGTTGTTTTGATGCCTCGGTTTGTACTTAACCTTGGCTTGGCTTGAGAGAGGTAAGGCTGCACGTGGGCTTTAATTTCTGACGCTCTCATTCTACCTCATGCTGAGAACAAGTACGTTTTTTGCTGCCTCATTCTTTCCTTGATGAGTCTGTGTTTTCTGCCTGTGTTCTTTCTCGTGTGGCAGAGTCCCCACTCTGGAATATAGACGCCATCTGCAGCAGGGTGCTTCATAAATTCGAAGTGATGGTGAGCTGGATTTCTCTGTGTCTATTCTACACTTAGGAAATAATTTATCATTTCAAAATTGATGCACTTTTATATCACCTGACCAGAGAAAGGAAACTAGTTTATGGGGACTAAGAGTACTACTGGGTCCCATTATAATACGTGGATAACATATTAAATAAGTACAGTAAAAGTTTAGGGGTTTTGCTGTTGGATAGCTTTACTCAGCGTGACGGAAGAGAGAAAGGAGGAACAAGATCTAGCCGCCCGCTAAAACCACATCTATTACGATTCTTAGGGAGCAGTTTCTCTCAGTCTAGTAGGGCCTTTCATTTACATACCAAGATATGCAAACTCCAAGTCTGTTTAGTGCAATCACACAGGAACTATCATTTAAACATTGTTGCTTTATTTCTAACTCATGACAGCCATGTAACTTAGGTATTTACTGGAAGCGAATGAAAAGATACTGTGTTTAAATACAGTCTTTCTTCTAGAAACACTGAAATACGTTACTGTTGGTAAAAACTCATATACAGTCAAAGAATGTGTTATTTTAAAGGAATTTTGGTCACTTTTGAAGGTCAGTAAAGTGGCATTTATGGGTTAGGTGAGCTGGTTAGTTTTTATCAACTTGACATAGACCTAGGCATACACAAGAAGAGGGACTCTCAACTGAGGAACCGTTTCCATGAGGCCGGCCTGTCAGCAACTCTGTGGAGGCATTTTCTTGATTGCTAATTAATGTGGGAGGGCTATGGGTGGGCCTGAGCTGGTGTCATGGCACCCTGAGCTAGTGGGCCTTGACTCTGTTAAAAAAAAAAAAAAAAGTAGCTGACCAGAGAAAGGAAACTAGTAAGTAACATTCCTCCATGGTTTCTGCCTTCAGTTCCAGCCCTGGCTTCCCCAGATGATGGTAACCTGTAAGCTGAGATAAACTCTTTCCTCTACAAGTAAACACACATCTGGTCATGAATGGGTTAATGTAGGGCACAGTGAGATAGCAGTGCTCTTGAAAGAATGAACCACAACCCTAATGGGTCTAATCTCTACCTAGGAGGAAGGAATACTCCATCCCCTTTCACTGTAGTCATGGGTACTCTGAAGAAAAGCTTTTTTAAAAAAAAAAATTGCAAAAATTAGTGTGTGCATATGTACATGAGTGTTGTATTTTTGTCGAATGTTATTCACTAGTATAGTTGTGTACACATGTGCATGAACATGTGGAGGGGTGGATGATGTGTCTGTTTTTGATCATCCTCTACCTTTAATTTTTGATACAGGATCTGTCTGTCAACTGGAAGCTCACCGACTGGCAAGTGTCTTGCTCCATAGATGGGCTTTGGGGATCTGCCAGCTTCTGGCCTCACAGTGCTACGTTTACAGGCATGCTCTGCCATGCCTGGCTTTTTATGTGGGTTCAATAGATCTGAACCTGGGCACTAAAGATTCCAAGGAACTATACTGGCAACCCATCTTAGCCCCAGAACAGCTTTTCTATATACTTCTGTATTTCCCATAGAGTATGTCCTGCCATACTGACGTAAATACCAGAGCGAAAACTGGAGCATATAATTTTGTTAGTGCTAGGACAATGCCAGAATTACTTTCCATTAAGAGACAATACTAAGAAGCTGGGAGAAAGCCTCATCGTGTTCCTCCTCGGCCAGATGAATCTGCCAGCCCCATTCCCTACTCTCTTCTCTGTGGGACAAACAGCGGGAGGTAGCGAGGCAACTGAATGTGAGTTCAAAAACCAGAGGCCAGAGCTGGAAGACGGCTCAGTGGAGAAAAGCTTTTACTGTGCAAGCATTAGGACCGGGATCAGGTCTCCAGCACCAGGTAAAAGCTGGGTGTGCTCACCCAGGCCTGCAACCTCTGCAGGGTTGGAGGGGTAGAGGCGGAGAATTAGCGTGGCTTACTAAAGTCAGCCTGTTTCCAAATTTAGTGAAAGACACCGTCTGTAAAGAATAAGGTGGGAAGTGATAGAGCAGGACCCCTGATGGTCTTGTGCCCTTCACAGTGTTTGAGGAGGCACACACTCAAAAAAAAAATACTGGGATGCGGGGTGTAGGGGAGGTAGGGGTGGGGATAAGGGGTTATGGAAAGACTGTGGCCTGGTTGGGGGCAGAGTAACTCGTGGCTATCGCTGGAGTATGTGTGATGTGTATCTTATGATGGACAGGTAACTACTGATAATGAGATTCACGGTTTGCTACTCAGCTGTGGGCATTAGCCAGCTCTGCTGTTTGATAAATGCCATGATGTTAACCTGCAAACGGTCTAGGTGCGCAGGGTAGCTTTCCTGTCCTGTTGCGGTCGGTCTCCTACACATCCTTCCGCTCTGCCCCTCCTTGAGCTGCTTTTTAGCAGGAAGCTACCATGCTCTCCTTGATCATCAGTGAGCAGCGAGAATGTAGGTATGTGCTGGACCAGGGCTTGGCTTGTAGTATTTAGTCAATTTACCTAACTCATTCCCAGAGGAAAGCTGAAGAGATATTTAAAAAGGCTGGGAAAACTTCAGGGAAAATATATCTGAAGTCTCTTTTAACAGAGTGGTTCTATGGGGGCGGGGTGTGTGTGTGTGTGTGTGTGTGTGTGTGTGTGTGTGTTCCATCTCTTTCTGGTTTACATTCACCCATTGATTTTTCAAACTTTATTTTATGTGTCCTGTCTTTTGTCTGCATGTATGTATTTGCACAACATGCATGCTTGGTGTCGGTGGAAGTCAAAAGGGGGTGATAGAGCCCCTGGAATTGGATTTACTGATGCCTGTGAGCTGCCATGTGAGTGGTGGGTACCCAAAGCAGGTCCTGTGCAAGGGTAACACGTGCTCTTAACTCCTAGGCCCTCTTTCCAGCCCCCGCTGATCTACATTTTATTTAATGGAAGGGGCTACACACACTGCAGACTCATAGGATGGTTAGGATCTGGAGACTATCATTTCTATCCTAGCTGATCATGTCAGTAACAGGGAAATGAGGAGGGGTTAATGCAGGCGTTGGCAACATAATTGCAAAGGCATGAAGGACATGAAGGACAGAAACTGTATCATCAGTGCCTTTCTCTTCTAGCTCTTACTATACAACTTTATCTAGCTTCATGAGCTAGAAAGTCTCCATATCCTTTGTATCACTGAAAGAAAGATAGAAAACAAAGACAGAAGGAATGTAGGTCCAAGGTCACAGAAAAGATGCTTTTGTATGTATGTATGTATGTATGTATGTATGTATGTACGTATGTATGTATGCCTGTGAGACAGAATCATACTTTGGAGCAGGACCACTAATGGCCAATGTTTCCTTGTTTCCACTGTTTCATTTTATTGACGAAAAAATTGAGGCTCAGTTCATTAATAACTTGTCTAAGACAGCTCACTATTTAATGATAGATCTGTCTTGAGTCCATACCTCTCTGATTCCAAAATCTGTCAGTAATACCACCAGTCCCAAGTCAGACGATAAAATGCCAGTTTTATGGCTTATTTCCCACCACTGGTAAGAACAAAATGTAAAATTCTTTTTTGAAAGAACATACTCCATTTGACTTTTACCTTTTCCCAAGTACGACTGCTCCTGGGTCTTGAGATTTTGCCTCGAGCTCCTGAACTTCATCCACTAATGTTTTAAAGGCTGTCCTCTTGATACTGTGGGGAGAAAAGGATTTGCATGGAAATTCTCCTAGGAAGACAAGGACACGGACATGTGGCTTGCTGTCCTGCCCTTGGCAAGCATGGCCTTAACAAGGGACAAGCGGAGCTTTCACAAATCTTAAAAAGCTAAGACACTTCGATTTAGCAATATAGGGACAATAGTCTTAACAAATAATTGAGATTTTAATACTAAAATAGCTACTAAATAAGCATATCATTAACTTTATTAACTATATTGCAAGGTAGCATTGTTTTAAAAACGTAACTATTAAGAAAATTTGCAAAGTTTTTGTTGCCTTTACATTTTATGTATATTTAGAATCAGGGAAGCAAGGAATTACTTTTCATAACTCCTCAAAAACATGTATGGAGGTAAAATCTTCTTTTCCTTTCCATTTTGAGGTCTTGCAAGTGATTTCTAAAGGACAGATATTTTCTGATGTAATTTTCTCCAATCCAACCAAGGTGCCTCTCCTTGATGTCACCTGAACGCACCCACTTTATTTCTCACTTTGCTTTTTATGCTAATTTAGTTTTCTCATTCTTGAATTGTGCCTTCCTTCTTTAAAATCAGTAAAAACCACTGGCACAGATTTTTCACAGTTTACATGATTGGGAAGCACAGATCCCGAGGGGTGACATGCGTGCATGTTATTGCGTATTTAGTCAAGAGCCCCGAAGGGTGACAGCGTGCGCGTGTGTTTTTGTGTATTTAGCCAAAGGTCCCATACTCACACTTTGTACAGCACATCCAGAAGCAAGGACGCCACAGGGATGGAGAGTAAGCCCACCCAGAAGACTCCAGAGCTGAAGAGCATGGCTGCCTGTAGACACATTACAGACAGCTGACATTTCCGCACAGCCAAGACACACACCTGTCACGCTTAGCCTCTATGTAAGGTATTAATCTATGTAATCTTATGTAATCTTAATCTATGTAAGGTAGCTTAAATATCATTTTACAAGGGGAAAGACAATACTCTGAACTCAAACTCTTAAGACATTTGTAATTAAAAGCCATATTTGTCATGACATGTGCCTTTATACACCACTTCCCTCTCAAGTAGCTGATGGAGAAGGTTTAATCATGCATCAAATCTTTTCATATTTATGTATACATATACACACACATATATATATGGATTAAAAAATTATTGTGCTTAATGACATGAAATGTAAATTTTGACCTTTTCCAATAGAACATCATAATCAATCTTGTTGAAGAAATCAAATATACTCTTGATTTAAATGAAATCAAATGGCATATAAGATAATTCATATTTAGAAACAGAATGTACTAATTCTAGCACATGAAAATTATACTTATCACATTGCAAGCCATTAAAAACCATCCAGACATATTTTGACAATGGTGCAATCAAATTAAGATATCTATGAAAACAACTTGATTATTTTGGGTGAGTGGATAGACATAATCTTATTTTGGCTCAATGATTTACATAAATTTTATCAGTGTACATCTATTATTGCTAAAGTCAACCCAAATATCTAGTATGTGAAACTCGAATAAAGGTATACTAAAATTAACTTTAATTATCCCATTGTATTAAATCTTAAATTGTGTATCAAAGGCTGTCAGACTATAAGCAAAAATTGTTCCATGATTTAAAAAAAAAGTAATAAATTCTATTAGTTGTTTGTGATTAAAATAAAATATTGTTACAAAGTTAGATTACACAGAGTTTGTAAAGAACTGGTTTGCACAATAAAAGATAAATTTTGGTTTCACTTCTGTGAGTTGATTTGCTTCTCAAGGGTAAGCCTATAGTACCCATTTCGCCTGTAAATATACTATTTATTACAATACAAAGTTGTCAACTAACACACCCTTACATCCTGCTACAAATCATACAGGAAAGGTTGAGATTTTTTAAACCTTGAATTCAGGAGTAAAAATGATTTAACATTTAGTTCTAGGCACAGTAACAACTACGCACATTCCTAGTCAGTCAAACCTCATCATATAGGAAGATAAACTAATTTTAAATTATGACTTGGGCTCCCTCTTTATTTTGACTCTCAAAGGGGTACCAAGAACGACTCCATTTTTTCCTACATGAATACAGGCTACTGATATAGACTGCCATTCAAGGATGCTAAGGTTCCCCCCCGAAATATGGGACTGATATCTCTGCCCATTTTAAATAAAAATCTGCCCTCGTTAAAAAATTTTCAGAAAATAAAATCTGCCACATGGACTCTGAAGAACAGCATCCATATTCTAGACATCAACTAGTGAAAAATATGCCCATAAAAGTCACTTTATTTAATAAGCAAAACATGATTTGGGACACCTTTGTTGACATCCTCAATAGTGAAAACCAACAGTAACTATGTAACAGGAAATGTCTATCACCTCGCAGGCCTTTGTTTCCATTCAAGGACGCTTTCTAGGAAGGTAACAGCTATTAGAAAACAAAAAAACCCTAAACAAAACAAAACCCCTTTCATATCTTTTTCTTTCTGGGGAAAAGGGTAAGATGAGATGCTAAGTCATATAACTGAAAACACGTTTTCCTGGCTTACTTTTAATGTATTTTAATGTTGAGGGCAAGAGAAGAAAGACTTCTTGCCTTTGGCCACCGTGTATTAACCTCGAGTTAAAGTCTCTGCAGACAAGAAAAACTCGGATCCGGCAGGCTGCTAATTCTGACCATTGTCATGCTAATGACGGAGGGGGTAACTACAGCCCACTATTCAGCTACCGGCCTTTGGCTTTACAAATGAACAACATGAATTGAAGGGGGGAAAACTTTTTCTGAGTCATATCTGAAAGCCTGTCAGATTTTTTTTTCTTTTGCAGCGTTAATCCAAACCTAAAAGATTTAAAGCCGACATCCCCATTTAAGACAGAGAGTCTCTTTGTATTTCTTTGGATGAAGAGGAGGGGAAAAAAATGAAATCCCACAGAGGTATTTCCTTCCTTTCTGTAGGAGAAAGCTCCCCTCTCCCTGTGGAAGCCAGTTTGTCTCTAACTTTTCACATTTCCCCACTTGCAGGCAGGTCAGCTGGGAAAAGGCAAGCCCTGTGCAGACAATGGTGCTTAGGGGGGCGTCTGTCTGGGGTTGGTCTAGGGCTCCCCCTTAGAGCAGTTTGTAAATGGCCCTGAACGTGGGAGATTGGGGGGCAGTGCCAAGTGTCCCTTGTCCTCTTCCAGGTCTTGTGAAACCAAATGGAATTTGCCACAAAAGCAGAGAGGCTTGAGAAGGGGGTCTAAGCGCTTAGGGCCTTGTGGTTGGTATCCTGCAGGCCTGCCTGTGCCCTGCTCGGGGGAACAAGCAACCGCTTGTCTCTGCAGAGGCCCCAGGATCCAGGTGGGAGCCCTAGGGCTTCAAAATAAACCAGGGCTAACTCTAATGGAACATACAATCCAGGCAGGGGAAACGCTTACATTTTCACATAAACTTGCAGAAGAGTACTTGACAAAACATCAGCTTATTGTGCTACTAGTCCAGTGGAGACGCAGGACCAGGCCCACTTACAGTCTTGTTCCCTGACCCACAGTGGGGGAACACTAGCATTTCCACACCAGAGAGACGGTCTTCACAATCAGCTTGCCCAAGTTCAACCTTGTAGAAGGGAGAGAACTCAAATACAGGGATAAACCTTTGGCTGCACAGGTCTTGTCTGGCTCAGAGTTTGCCGCTGGAAAGGTTGAGAAGGCATGCTCTGATTCTCTATTACATACGGAGGGCTCTCAAAAGGAAAGCACTTCTCAGAGCCCTTGTACCCCAGCCAGAGCAGGCGCGCCCCACAGCCTTTGACTTGGTCTGCCAGTGCCCATGACAGTCACCAAGACTCCATGGAGAGTAACTTTTCAGTCTGTTTCTTCAACTATTGAGTGGGTTTAAGAACCAAACCCCACAGTGCGACCAGCCTGCACTCATGATTATTGATGTGTTCTCCTACCTTTACCTTAATTTTTGGAATTCTTTAGTGGACTCTCATCTCCTGTTCTTTCTAGTGATCTGTCCCATGAGCTTTAAGGAAGGGAGGTTTTCTCTTATCAAGTTAAGTACAAATCAGCCCATAAATTCTATGGTTTTGATTGCTTTATACATATATATGCTTGTCTTATGTAATATTTTCCAATGCCAACATACAATATGAGTCAACATAAATTGACCATTAATAAAGTCTCAGGCTTATAGATTTGCTAACAGGAGGGGGCTTGGTTAAGCACACCAGTCTTATATAAATTATCTCACAAGAAATGGAGAAAATAGAAATTGTTATATATTAATGTTCTAGGGAAATTATTAAGAAACCAATGCTATAAAACTTGGTGACTTTCTTCTCTTTTCTTTTTTTAAAGAAAAGGTTTTTGCTATGTAGCCCAGTCTGGCTTTGAACTTGAAAATGAACTATCTGCTTCTGCCTCCTGAGGGCGAGGGTTATAGACACATGGTACAATGCCTGGGCAGACAGTTTCTTCTTTCCTTTCTCTTTCCCTCTCTCTCTTCGTTCTTTTGTCTCATTCCTTCTTGTGTAAGAAAAAAAAAATACAAATCCAAAGGAACTACAAGTTAACGTTGTAACAATTGACAATGTAAAAACTCCCAAGAAACAGGCCTGGGGAATCATCCTCAGTAGATAGACCGTTGACGCACTGTGTGGGAGGCCTGGCTTCAAGCCACAGCACTCCAACAAAATCAAAAGAACAAAACAACAAAACCCAAGAGGTGATATTATCTAGATAAGACTTTATACAAGGGTTTCTATATTTAAAAACATTGAGGGGAAAAAAATTTCCAAAAATAGATGCGCAGAACTTGCACATGGTCAAGGGACGCGAAGGAAAGGTAAAGCACGCTTGGGATGAATCTGGAATGCATGCGATTCTGTGCTAGTCTCTGACCATAAAGAGCCCGCTTATCTTCCTATGAGTAGATCACCATAGACGGGTAAGACCAAGACCAAGATTTGTGTTTTCAAAAGCTACAGCAAGCTATCAATGACAGTTTTTCCTCTACAGTTCAAAGAAAAAAAAACCCGCACTAAATTAAATCAAATTTAAAAACATGCACCACCACAGTTGTGGGGTGTGGAGAGCTGTGGCCAACAGACACTTGGAATAATTCATAGATCCTCCCCTGGAATGGATTAGCCTTTGGGAAAGAGACGGCAACGTTATCAGTCATTCCTGTTAACTTGATAATTTAGTTTCTGCACTAAGTGTCAAATTCCATCTTGCTTCTGTGTTTCATGAATACAACTTATAATTACCAGTCCTATAAGGCTCCAGGGACCCAGGTGTGGTAAAGTGACCTCAGCCTGTCAGACAACTGTGTGGCAGCTTAAGCAAGGCACGGAGAGGTGGAGTAAAGAGCCCACCGAGCAGTTAGTTTTTAACCAGTGTACTGATCACTGTATGACTTGATCAAATGTATTCCAAGGTAACAGAATACAGATATTTGCTGTGAATGGCAACAGTTAACCAGATAACCTGCAGCTGGCTGAATAAATGCCTGTCCGTATGTGGGAATATCATTTAAGTTCTTCAAGATTCTGCCCACAGAATGCCATGAGGAGAAAGCTGATTGTCTGGAGGTCTTGAGTAGAGAGGAAGTAAGTGTGACTTATTGTACTTTTAGGGACATCTTGTCATGGTGGTCATGGTTGTGGCTCATGGGTGTCACAGCTAGGTAGGTTACTGGCTACTTCCCTTCCTTGGCAGCTTGTATAGTACCTTCTGGTGTTAAGAAAGCTAGTCCTCGGGCAGGAGGCTTCCAGGTTGGATCCAGCTTGGATCCTTCTGTGTCTGAAGTATATGGTGTCACCAGCAATAAGGACTTACCTTCAA